GTCCCGTAAAAAACGGAATCGTCTCGTATTCAGAGAAAATATGACGCACTTCGTGTTGAGCTGAGAAAGAATCACAGTTTGTCCCGAACTTTAGCTAGAATGAAAAAGACACAAAGCTGAGTTATTCTGTCTTTACGCTGCAGCTGCCTCTTCTTCTTCAGGCAGCCTCTGAATGCTGCACACTCGGAGACCTGTGTCTCTGAGTGGGAGACCAGAGATCACATTAACATGTGTGTCTCTGTATTAACAAACATGCCATATTGGCCCAGTTTATTTTTCTTATCATTGTTGTGAGGAGACCATAAATAGCATTTGTATTTTCTGTTGTTCAGTTCATTTGCTGTTATGGATAAAAAGTTTTTTTTGTTTCATAATAGCTGATAACTATTCGCTGACAGCTGCCAACATCTGTGAACAAATATAATCTATAAAGTTGTTCTATATAGTGTGTAACTGTTAATATAGAGCGTTATTAAATTTATTGCTAATGCAGTCATATGGCACACTGACTGCTGAGGAAAGTTTAGATACACTCGTCATCAGAAAGGTTGCCGACCCCTGCTGTAAAGGGTTTGGTGGAGACATTCATTTGGAAAACGATGAACTTCACTTGATTTTATTCTTTATTTCATAAAACTCAAATATCTGACCGTGGCGCCTTTTGGTCCCGGTGGTCCTCGCGCTCCTTTTATATCCTGAGTCTCAGGGAACACTCTCGTCTCTCCCTGAAACAGAGTCAGAGGAACCTTTGTCAAAAGAAACCATCACAGATCAAATCAGCCATCTTCAAATCCATCTTCTTCATTACAGCATTCAGGTGTCAATGCTCACCTTCATGCCCCGAGGACCATCACGCCCCTGAAACACGTGAACAGCTTTAGCTTCACACACTGAGTTAGCTTAGCCTATTTTTAACTGTTTATAGACAGTGACTCACCCGCCTGCCTGCAGGTCCAGGAAGTCCAGGATGCCCTGGAAAACCAGCATCCCCCTGAAAGACATGAGTCACATTTGTGTGTGTGGGTACGATCGGATGATTCATTTTGATAGGAAACACTCTCCGAAACTGGCTTTGATGCTGATCACAGCCTGGAAAGCTTGAAGCAGGAAAACCTGGAAGTCCTTGATATGTGTTGTTCAAAAATGATCGTGACACTTCTATGCAGATGATACACAAGTATGTCTCCCTGCCCAGTGTTATTGGCGTAACTAGCTTTTTAAACAGCTTGTCAAAATGATGAAAAAGTTCAATTTAAATGTTGGCAAGTTCCTGTAAAAGTTTCAGAATAAGAGCCTTGTACATACTGAGCCAGCACAGGATTAATCATGGTCACCGGGGCTTCTTTTCTGCAGCTTTTACCTGCACGTGTGGATGGCAGGCTGATTTCTGGAAGCGTTTCTGAGCGCGTGCACTAATTTCCAGCACACAATCATGTCTGCAGTTAATGCCGTGCTGCGTGAAGGCCTGACGATCACACACATCCAACACTGATTCTCAGCCTTAGAATCTTTTAATGTTTTGTTGACGAGATATTTAACATCTGCATCACTGTTTTCATTGACATTCAAACATTATGAAATAGTTTGCAGATCTAGTTTTTTGCAGATTGGTGCACCTCTGCATCTGCAAAACGTTCTTTTTTGCCTGTTATCCCTCGAGCTGGTTCATTTTAGTATCAGTGGCTGTGACAGACTTTTATTGCCTTTTTGAGACAAATTCAAAATGAAAATGCTAAATTCTCTTAGTTTTTCTCTGCTGTGAATAAAATGTGCATCTGTAACATTTGCAAATCACAGTTTTCAGGTTTTTTTACAGTTTTCCACAGCTGGTCTATAATTAGCTGCAGAGTGTGAGGCTCAGGCGGTTATACATCAGCGAGCACAGGAAGAGAGGAAAACTCCCGAGATGAGAGGAAAAAAAGATTATTCGATCTGCCTTCTGCCAAGCCGTGATTTCTACCTTCGTCCCGTTGCATCCTGGAATTCCTGGTTGACCGATCGGCCCTTCGTGTCCGTGCAGTCCCTGAGAAATAAATGCATCCAGAAATGTATTAAAAGTTAAACTTTATTATCATTATGTGTTTTTAAAAAGACACCAAAGAACATCTTTTTTTCTTGTATATTCTTCATGTTACTTCCATACGTATTAGGATCTAATAGGTATGGAGCCTACAGTCTACTGTGCTGTATGTTTAATGTGTTCTGTGTGTGGTGAGCGTCCATACCGGCAGTCCCGGAGCTCCTGGGAAACCTGGTTCTCCCGGCAAACCCTGATGGTTTGAGAAGTTCAGAACAACGTCAGCAGGACATTTTTTGGTAAATGTGTCTGAAATGATGCTAAAATCAGGGAAAATTTAGGCTTAAAAAATCAAAATGACCTCCCCCACTACTAGCTGCCAGCTGGCTTCACCTGAACCGGACCTCTGGGCCATGTTTGTGCTGTTGGAACCTATTGGAGCATTTTTAATGACATTGTGTGACCAATGACTCGGCCGCTGTGAGGTTACTGTACTAACAGACCGTCTACGAAGGCTGAGCGAGAGCTTAGGTGAAGCTTGAGCATTTATCTGGATGGTGGTGAGCTCTGATTAGCATTAGCATCTGAGCCAGCTGGTTTTATCTGATAACTGAGCTTTCATCCAGATACGGTCCCATCTATGACTCTGACGTGGAAGCAGCCAAAACAGGAAAGGTTCAGTGGGATAAACAGTAAAGGCCGTCATACCCGGGCACCCTTCAGACCCGGACTTCCTGCAGGTCCCAGTTCACCCTGAGCAAAAGAAGAAGAAAACATTAAA